GAGAGTGTTGGGGGTCACACAGTAATAGGATGTCTCTTTAGAGAGTGTTGGGGGGTCACAGTTATAATTTGTATTTCCTCTACAGCTCTAGTTCCTTTCCATACCCCTGATGGAGGATGCCCCATGGTGTGCAGGCTGCTGGATTCTGTAGACATCTTCCTTCAGGGCCGCCCTGTTATAAACCTCCAGTACTGTGGGGGGTTAACAACATCGGGTCTCCCGGCTCAGCTGCACCGAAGATGATCCTACATGGACACGCCCCCTTCTGCCCTCTCCTCCATTGAGGAAAGTTCATTGTCAGTCCATGGCAGCTGGCACTCTTCCTCACCCTCACCGCAGGCCTCACTGCAGGTTCAGGCCAATGTCATCACATATAATGTAGGACCAGAGTTGTCCGCTAGTCCTGCTTTCTATGTGATGGTGGCAGGGGACTGATAAAAAGACTGGAAAAGAGGAATGGCCTCATAGGACCGATCATCCATACCATCCATACCAGAACTATTGAATATTAAGAACCTAGACTAAGGCAGCTCATAGATGAATCCTTTTTTTTTTTTTGCTCAACCAGCAGGCTAAACAAAAAAGACTTGACTGGACTACCCCATCCACACACTGATTGTGGATGGGGGAATCCTGCCTGCTGTGTCATTGTATCTGACAGCACGAACACTTCCCCACTGTCAGAATACATTGATCAGCATTGCAGGCTATAGCTTGACTTCTGTACAATCACAAGTGCCCATACATGGATCGAAATTCAGGTGGCCCCTGTCAAACTTGCTGAATTTTGATCTATGTATGGTCAGCTTACAGGCCCCCTTGACTAAATAAGCATTAGATCCTTAAAGTGGTTGTAAACCCTTACATTTACCCAGTGAAGTGACTGGTCTTGGGTGATACACAGAGATGAAACAAATCCTCCTATATACGTTGTACCTGTTTATCTGCAGTCTCCTCTTCTTCTCTACACCCATTCAAAGTATTGCATTTATAAAGCTTGTCTGAGAGTTCAGAAAAAAAAGGGGACAGAGAAGTTACACTTTGCAGATCTCAATGAGGAGAGCTCTGACAGCTGATTGGAGGGAAGACCCCCCCCCCCCCTTCACAAAGCACACAGGAATAGAGCTGAGGCTGTCAATCTGCTGGAGCTCCCTTCCCTGTCACAATTTTCTCTTGGTGTCAGGAAAACTTGTCAGAAGTGATTTATGCTGATAGCAGAGGAACAAAGCAGTAGACAGTAATTCATTCTTAATTGAGACAAACACACACTATAGAGGGATATGCTTTGTTCATATTTCATGTACAAGGTTTACAACCACTTTATATGTAAAAGAACATGCAGTACAACTCTGCAATATGTGCACATGTCCTGATGTTTTATCTCTTTTGAAGACCCTGCAAATGCAGAAAAATATCTGTTATCAATTTGTTCAGCTCCTGAAGCTGATCATACACATATAGATATTTTCCATTCAGCCTGATCTGATTCCTCCATCCACTCTACACAGTGCGGATGGACGAATCTCCCTGCAACTTTTATATTTTGACAGCTGGCCCTGCAGCCGTCAAATTCCCTGAATAACATCTGCATCTGATTGGCTGCAGCTGCTGTTTGTCTGACAGTTTTTAACCCGAATTGTTTGTTTTTGCAGCTGAGAACCACCCACTGAATGACTTTTGGCTGGGTTATCAGAAACTGGCCAAAATGTACTCTTTGTATGGCTAGCCACCCAAAAGGGGAAGTTCTGCTTCAAGCCTTTGTTCCCCGCTCCTCATTCAGGATTGGCACCTTTGGGGCGCGGGGGTAGGAGCGGGTACCCAAATTTGACAGGTACCCGCTCCCACTTCCACTGCGATCACCTAAGGCGATCGGAAACAGAAGTTGTTCTCCCTCCCCATAGTCTTCTGGGACACGTGACAGGTCCCAGAAGACTACGGGGCACATGACAGGTCCAGAAGACCACGGGGCACGTGACAGGTCCCAGAAGACTACGGGGTACGTGACAGGTCCCAGAAGACCACGGGGCACGTGACAGGTCCCAGAAGACCACGGGGCACGTGACAGGTCCCAGAAGACCACGGGGCACGTGACAGGTCCCAGAAGACCACGGGGCACGTGACAGGTCCCAGAAGACCACGGGGCACGTGACAGGTCCCAGAAGACTACGGAACCATTCACAAAGCGCAGCGCTTCTCGTGCATGCGCAGTGGGCACCCGGCTATGAAGCCGCAAGCTGTCACAGCCGGGTGCCCACACTAAAGATGCCTGCGCCAGGGAGAGAAGATGGTCGGTGAAACCAGCGGTGGTGAGGACACCGCTGGACTGAGGGACAGGTAAGTGGCTGTATGTTAAAAGTCAGCAGCTACAGTTTTTGTAGCTGCTGATATTCATTTATTTTTTTCAACTGGAACTCTGCTTTAAGTCCTGCTGTGGGCTGATAACACATTTTTGTGGACTAAGTGGTGTCATCCATGACCAAGTTCTTGTTTGCTAAACTACCGTTTCATGACCATTTGTTCATGTTCACAACATAAGTATTAGTTGATGATTAGTCCCAGAACTAGGAGGTCTAATCATGTTCCTCAAGATAACACAGGAAGTGTCCACAGGACACAGGACAGCCCTGAATTCCTGACGAGATCAGCAGGTTTTTTTTTACTTATCAAACAGATATAACAAAACACTTTTAATGGCATTTTAAACAGACCAAAAGGGAATAAATAAAAGATCATTGTCAGAGTTTACGTCACTTTAATATACAGGGGGCAGCCCACATGGAGTTTTTTTTTATAGCTGACCAAAGTTAAGCTTTCAAATTCATTTCTTGAACCACTTTTCAGCAAGGGTGCTGACTGCACTGTCTGACACACATATATCCACAATAGGGAAAATCTGAGCATAAAGTCTAAACTACAGCAGAGTATTAAAGTGTTACTAAACCCAAGGCCCTGCATTCACTATATCTGTCTCCCACAGTACACACAACATGGAAATGCAGTTATTGTAGTAAATATAACCTGCTAATTACTTTTTCTCATCAGCAGTTAGAGAAGTCTTGTGACTTCAGCAGAGCACTAGCTAAAGCTTGTAGGAGGAGTTTTCTTTCTGCTCTAGGAGGATGCAGGACCCCTGACCTCTGTCTGGACAGTGCTTATTGGCCCTGTGCTGATCACATGCACTCTCCCAAGATAAAAAAAAAATTAAACCTCTCTAGCCATACACACTAAACTGAGCATGTGCATGTGGCTACTATTCAGTCGGTCTTATCAGGAGATAAGACTGGACATTTGAACAAGAGAAGGGGCAGAGAAGACAGGATCAAACATCCTTTTTACACAATGCAGAGGATTAACCCCTTAGGTTCCACAGTGAGTATAACAAGCATGCTTTACTGCATACACAGACTGATTTTACTGTTGTGGGTTTAATAGCACTTTAACTACATGCCGCCCAGCCACTGTACATGTACGGCGGCAGGGCGGCACTCGCAGGCAAAACCACGTTTTAAAACGTGTGTTTTGTAAACAAATAGGGGGCGCGCCACCGCCCTATCTGTCCCGCGGATCACCGCCGCAGATGTCAGTCGCCGGGTCACAACCGCTCCTTAGTGGCTATGTCCCGGCGATCGGCGGCAAACAGTGACAGAGAGCACAGCTGCAGTAGCTGTGCTGTCTGTCACTTCCCTGTCAGCTCGAGGATGAGCTGATCGAGAAAGAACAGTTTCTCTTTCTCGATCAGCCTTGTCCCGCCCAGTACACAACCCCGCCCCCTAGTAAAACACTCCCCTCACTCCTATAACCCTTCCCTGCAAAATAAAGTTAACCCCTTCCTCCCCATTGCCATTAGTACAGTGTCAGTGTTTTTTTTTTTTTTGCACTGATCACTGTTTTAGTGTTTTTTGGGGATGTCAGTGACCCCAAGTCAGTACCCCCCAATGTCAGAATGTCCGCCGCAGTCCCGCCATAAGTCGCTGGTCGCTGCCATAAGTCCCTGATCGCCGCCATAATTCGCTGATCGCCGCCATTATTAGTATAAATAACCCCTAAAAATCCCAGTATCTTTCCCGCCATTTGTAAACGCTATAACTTTCACGTAAACCAATTAATTTACACGTATTGGGTTTTCTTTTAACAAAGACATGTCGCAGAATGCATTTTGGCAGAAATTTATGACTAAATTTGATTTTTGCATTTTTTTTTACTGGACATGTCTTATAGCAAAAAGTCCAAAATATTGTTTTTTTTCCTCAAAATTTTCAGCCTTTTTTTTTATAGCGCAAAAAATAAAAACCGCACAGGCGATCAAATACCACCGAAAGAAAGCTCAATTTGTGGGGAAAAAAAGGATGTAAATTTCATTTATGTACCGTATTGCATGACCGCGCAATTGTCCGTTAAACTAGCGCAGCGCTGTATAGCAGAAAAATGGCATAAATTGCAGTATTTATACCATAGTTTGTAGACGCTAAAACTTCCACACAAAGCAATCAATATACACTTATTGGGATTTTTTTTTACCAAAAACATGTAGCAGAATACATTTTGGCTTAAATTTATAATCAACTTTGAGTTTACTATATATTTTTTATAGCTGAAAGTAAAAAATATTGTTTTTCTTCAAATTTTTGGCTTTTTTATGTTTATAGCGTGAAAAATAAAAAGCGCACAGGTGATCAAACACCACCGAAAGAAAGCTCTATTTGTGTGAAAAAAAGGACGTAAATTTCGTTTGGGTGCAGCATTGCATGACCGCGCAATTATCAGTTGAATTAGTGCAGCGCCGAGTAGCAAAAAGAGGCCTGGTCATTAAGAGGGGTAAATCCTCTGGAGCTCAAGTGGTTAATGTACAAATGGAAAGTGTTACAAGAAAATGTACATTCCATAATGTGCACTCATTGAAAATACTGGATGGTAGATAAGACCTTCTCTAACTTATGTGATACTTGTAATGGAATGATGAGTTGTGTTTAGCTGGCTGACATGGATTCTGTGCATTTCAGGAATGTATTCTGTCCGGTATTATGTCTGTCAATGGAAAGAAGGTCCTGCACATGGATCGGAACCCCTACTATGGCGGAGAGAGCTCTTCCATCACCCCTCTGGAGGAGGTACGCATCCTGTCCACTGATCTCTTCATTGTATGCATTTAAAGAGGACCTGTCACTAACATAACATGAGCAATTGTACAGCAAACGTGAGGATGCCCCTGGGTTGGTTTCTATATGAAAATTCCAGGCCACATCCCTCAGTGCATTGCATATGTCTGTGTATAATTTATTATGGTGCACTGAATTATTCTAGAGCTGCTAGAGTTCCAGATCGGCATAGCACACAGAATGGTTTTTCATGGGTTGGTTGGTAATAGATATCTATTACCAACCAACCCATGAAAATCATCTGTGAGTGAGATCTTGGTGTATTGGAGACGGCGAGTGTCATTGAATGGGAGGTGATCCTCTTCCTTTAGGATATACATCTTTAAGCTATGTAGCCAACCATGAGAATGGGGGGCATGGCAGTCTGGTGAGTGTACGCCCGAAAGGGGGAACACTGTATCTATTTTGCACACGTGGTGACTTGTGTTGGAGAATTGGAAGACTTTGTGGGCCTATTTAGGTCTTTTTCTGGACTTTTTCACATTAGCCACCTCCCGTCCGGCTGTTGTATATAAACGGGCCGGTCGGTGGCAGTGCAGGGTCGGGTGGCCGTTTATAAATGGCCTCCCCACTCCCTGCTTGTGCACGCTCCCTGGGAGTGTGCAGCACCCCGATCCGGTGCCCGCTGTGTCCTCCAGACACAGTGGAACACCGATCGTCGTACGGGACCTCTGTGCGAGTTCCCGATCATGTGATCACCGATTGGCCAATCAGTGATCACATGCAGAGTAGTAAGCAAGATGTCACTTCTGACATCATTGCTTACTACGTGTGAAATCTGAATGATCACAGAGGTCACAAGGTACAAGGCTTGTACCATGTGACAAGCTGTGACCAATCACAGCTCACACAGTAGTTCTCAATGGCTGCAAGAATGCAGCCAGAGAGAAGGAGAAATGATTGCTTTTACAGCCTTTATGGGTGTAAAAGCAATCAGTGTAAAAAAGCTGTACACTGTACTGCTAAGATACACTGTACTGCTAGGGTTACAGTATGTAAAAAAAAACCCCATAAATAATAATATTAAAAAAAAAATGTTTAAAAATTATAATTTTTGGTTATAAACTAATTTGTTTTTTTTTTTTACTAAAAAGATAACGGAATAAATTTTGTCCAAGATTTATGATGAAATATTATTTATTTGCAAAATGTTATAAGAAAAACACTTTTTTTCAAAATATTTGGACTTTTTCATTTACATAGCAAAAAAAAAATAAAAATCCCAGTGGTGAATAAATACCACCAAAATAAAGCTTTATCTGTCTCAAAAAATGCTAAAAAATTCATATGGGTACAGTGTTGCATGACCGTGCAATTGTCATTCAAAGTGTGATAGCGCTGAAAGCTGAAAATTGGCCTGGACAGGAAGGTGGTAAAAGTGTCCGGACTTGAAGTGGTTAAGAGTTTTATTCTGTGGTCCTATTAAGGACTTTTTCTGAACTTTTTCACATTAATTTTTTATATTAATGTATGTGTTATTTTGTGCTACTGAATCACTTTGAAGTTTCTGGTTATATTATTTTATTATAAGTGGCAGCAATTATTTGAATATTATTCACATATCTTGTTTGGCACTAATTTCTAGCGCAGTTTTTTGTTTCTTTATGCACGCAGTTATCCAGGATGGTTTGCTAGATACAGTTGCTGTCTGGAGAAAACATTGTGTTGATCTAGACAGGAGGGTACCCCATAGATGGCGGGGGTCTCATCGCAGTTACATGGTTTGCAATGACTTTGGCTACAACCTCGGTCACCTTTACATAAACCAAAATTTCTCCCCTGACAGTGACGGTGCTTTAATAGACTTCTCAAGCATTATTGTCAATTCAAATCTGCAAGTTGTCTGGTTGTTATATACACCATATTTCTAATAGTCTCATAGTCCAGGCACTGAGAGAGGGTGGAGGCAGTACACAGTGTGGGTGGTGCAAAGATAATGTATAGAGAAATAACTGTTGGCTCAGAAAATGTAGTGCAGAATTATAGGAGAAACTGATAGAAACAATCCATGGGTGCAGAGAAAATTCAGAATATTTACAGGTGGGCTATGCTGTTTTAAAAGAAGTTGGGCTGTTATCAGTTTTGGAGATGGGTTAGAAATTCTGTCATGGCCCCCATTGGGGAGATTCTGATTCACTTCCTGTGCAGTGAGTAGGACAGGAAGTGAGAGGAAAGCTCTTCTACTGGGTTAAGGACAACAATAAAAACTGTCAGAGATTGTGTCCATTATCTACTTAAAAATGAAAGTAAAACAGTTGTAGCCCGAGTTACATTTAATGCTAATCTCCAGGTTTTAGTGAACCAAGGTGGTCCAAACGAACAACAGCAAGTCAGCCATGAAGTGGTAGGCCAGGTGAAATGACAGTGCGGGGTCAGCGCATGCTGAAGCGCACAGTCCTCAGAAGTCGCCAACTGCAGAATTAATAGCTGAAGACCTCCAAACTTCATGTGGCCTTCCAATTAGCACAACAACAGTGTGTAGAGAACTTCATGGAATGAGTTTCTATGGCCGAGCAGCTGCATCCAAGCCTTACATCACCAAGTGCAATGGAAAGCGTCAGATGCAGTGGTGTAAAGCACGCCGCCACTGGACTCTAGAGTAGTGGAGACGTGTTCTCTGGAGTGACAAATCATGCTACTCTGTCTAGCAATCCGACAGACGTGTCTAGGTTTGGCGGTTGCCAGGAGTACGGTACTTGCCTGACTGCATTGTGCCAAGTGTTAAGTTTGGTGGAGGGGGGATTATGGTGGATTTTGGTGGAGGGAGATTATGGTGTGGGGGTGTTTTCCAGGGGTTGGGCTTGGCCCCTTAGTTCCAGTGAAGGGAACGCTTTAGGCATCATACCATGACATTTTGGACAATTTCATGCTCCCAACTTTGTGGATGACCCTTCGTGTTCCAACATGACTGCGCACCAGAGCACAAAGCAAGGTCCATAAAGACATGGATGAGTGAGTTTGGGGTGAAGGAACTTGACTGACCTGCACCTGAACCTCAACCGCATAGAACTGAATGAATGAATGAATTAGAGCAGAGACTGCGAGCCAGGCCTTCTTGTCCAACATCAGTGCCTGACCTCACAAATGTGCTTCTGGAAAGCATTCCCATAGACACACTCCTAAAACTTGTGTACAGCCTTCCCAGAAGAGTTGAAGCTGTTATAGCTGCAAAGAGTGGGCCAACTCAATATTGAACCCTACAGACTAAGGTTGAGATCCCATTAAAGTTCATGTGCGTGTAAAGGCAGGCGCCCCAATACGTTTGGCAATATAGTGTATGTCCCCACTGGGGAAATTCATCCTCTTTTTTTTTTTTGTGTCCTGTGACCAGTAAAGGAAATAATGGGGAATACAAAATGTTGGGGTTGCCACCAGAACAGTAGCGGAGGGGAAATCTCCTAATAGGGACACCTGTACCTGTAACATCTGTCCAAGATGGGATGTCCCCTAGTTTAGAAACATTTTCTCTTACTCCCTGTTGTGTCCTTGGAACAATGAGTAAAGGAAAATCTCTCCAATTAACAACTGCTAGCTTTTATATAATTTAGACTCGAAAAAATGTTTTGGCTTTAGATACACTTTATAGCCATGTAATAGGTATCACATTCTTGGGCAAGCTTTGCATAAACTACTAGATCCAGCATGGCCAGGTACCTTATCTTGTATATTGTTTATAACCTGCTTTTTTACCTACAGCTTTATAAAAGGTTTGAAATCAATGATGGGCCCCCTGAGAGCATGGGAAGAGGACGGGACTGGAATGTGGACCTGATCCCCAAGTTTCTCATGGCTAATGGTGAGTATATACTGTACTACATCCCAGATGCATTGTGGAAAGGAGATCTACTGAAAGGCTTGAATGAAGTGTTTGCACAGAACAGGTGCAGTGTTCAAATTTGTCTCTAACATCAAGGCCCCCCTCCACACCAGTGCATTATAGTAACACGTGCTTTACTGTGCATTGCGTGAGCGAGTGGCACTGTGTGCAGTCTTCATATAGAATGGTATTCCAGTGCCGATTAGAGTAGGTGCAGTTGGGCCCGCACCGCAACGCTTATGGGCTCTTTCACACGGACGTTCCGATCGGTTCTGCCTGCCCGTTTTTTAAAGTGGACCTGATCAGATCCACCATTCTCCTCTATGGAGCAGTGGGTATAAACGGACATGTGTCCATTTACACCCGCCGACATCTGATCCGATCCGCCAAAAAGGGACGGATAGGGATCCAATTCCCCTTCCGTCCATCGGATCGGGTCGGATGAAAGTGGATAGGCGGTCTGTTTTCATCCGACCGCCCATTGAGGAGAGCGAGCATCTCTGTGTCTGTTCTGCAGCAGCGAAGCAGATACAGCGCTGTCATCCGCTTGCTTGGCGAGGATCAGCAAAGAGATCCCTCGCTGAGCAAGTGGATCCGCTAAATGGGTCTGCTTCATGTGACAGGACCCTAAACCACGTGGTGTGGTATGCGGTGTTAAAAGAAAAAATCAGGTCCTGTTTTTGTACCATTGCTGTGCTTGGCAGCACATTCTAAATTAATGGACTGCTTTTATATATATGTAAAAAACATTATAGAAAACTTTTTTTCCCCCCTTTTTTTCATAAGTGATCACATACTCTCTCTTCTTAGCTGCATAAGAGCTGGGGGAGGAGAAACAGCTGCAAACCGGTCATCCCAGTGAAAGGATGTGCAGGGGGGAGTTGTGCCAGCAGAAGTCTGATCATTGGAGGAGAGCAGACTTAAGTTTCCAGCAGAGGTAGAGAACTGATCACAGTGTGTTCTACTGCTTAGTGTGGTCAGTTTATAATAGGAAACAGAGGGACTGGCAGGAACACAAGGGATTTCACACAAAGGAAGCAATATAAAGAGAACAGGATACTTTTTCATACAAGTACATGGTACAGCAGGCACATAGCAGGAATATTGAAAGTTGGGTTTACATCAGGGGTGTCTAACAGGTCGCCAGCAGCTACACCTGTTTGCGGCTATTTACACAGCCAGTGATTGCCTGCGGTGATAGCTCCTGGATGCAGACAAAGTGCATCCAACAGTGATAACCACAGGTAATTGCTGGCTGTGTAGAGAGCTGCAAATAGCTGCACCTACCTGCTCAGAGCCACAGGATCTCTTAGATTGTAAGCTTCAAGGAGCTGTATTATTATACAGGATTTATATAGCGCCAACAGTTTGCTCAGCACTTTACAATATAACGGGAGACAATACAGCAACAATACAGTTCAATACAAGAGGGATAGGAGGGCCCTGCTCCTTGGAGCTTACAATCTAAGATAATATAATAATAATGAACTGCCGCTAAAAGTTGTGCCAGTTCTAATTGCCAGTGTGAATGTAGCCTAATTGTGTGCTGTATTCGGGGGGATTGTAGGTTGTTGACTTTGGGGGGCAGGGGCCCAATTAAAATCTGGGGGGGCACAGCCCACCCCAGCACCCCCTAGATCCAACAATACAGCATCTACTTACTTGGTGCCCCTGCATTCCCTGCTGCCATTGCAAAAATGGCAGCCCCAGCATCCCTCCAGACAGGCATTTTCCTGGCTTGACAATGTAGGCTGCCTATGTTGCTATGTTTGCATGGCATCCCTAACATCCCTATAGACAGGCTTGCCTGTGTCGGCCACGTTGGCTGCTGTACTTGCATGGTATCCCTAGTGTTCCTCCAGACGGGCCCCAGGTCTCAGGCTAAACTCTCTGGGGCCGTGGGTTGGACACCCATGGTTTACATATTCTTTATTAAACAATCTAATCCAAACTGATTGGCTACAGCTGATTACTGGCTAATTATTGGCTACAATGATTGGCTAATTGAAACTGATTGGCTACAGCTAATTATTGTCTACGATGGTTGGCTAATTGAAACTGATTGGCTACAGCTAATTATTGGCTACGATGATTGGCTAATCGAAACTGATTGGCTACAGCTGCACCAGATGCTGAGTGCTCCAGTTCTGGAAAATCTCCCCCACAGTGTCTTTATTTCTGTCTAAGAAGAAAACAAAGCTGCTAAAAAACATGCCCTTTTGGTCTGCTTTGCAGTTAACCACAATATGAAAAAGTTGAGTAAACCAAAAACAAAAATGATGACTGCACATTGTTGTAAAACAGGAAACAAAATCTGAACACAATGTTGAAACCGAGCCACAGAAGAGGAAGCGCCTGGATTGCAGCTGTGTCAGCTTTGTCAGTGCGGGGCTTCGAAGAATTGTGATGCAAACAATGGTTGCTTTCCTGGGTACTTCTAATCTTCCCCTGTTGGTCTACCACCTAATCCGCCACAAATACTCCTCAGTTGTTCGGCTTCACTTTTACATCTACTTCTCAGAAGTACCCAAATGTTGGCAAAAAGCAATTACCTTAAAACCCCCCCCCCCTTCCTGCAGTAGCGAGAAATATTTCTGTGGGCAACAAAGGAACTGTTTTGTTTCCTCTCATTTTTTCAGTTTTTTAAACATGAGATCAGTGTCATCCCAGCATGTGCAAGTACCGTTAGAAGGCTTTCACTAACACATACTGCTCTCGGGGAATAAAAGGGACCATCTTATAGGTTTTTGCACATGCACAGGCATATTAAATAATTCACAGGCAGATGAATGAAAGTGTCTTTTTTATGCTGAGCTTTTATTCCAAAAGTTCTTGCTTCATCCTGCCAACTCCATTTATTTTGGGAGGTCTGCAGAACCTCACATCACCATTACATACACAGGTGCAAAAGCATTAAGTGTCATACCTACTGTTGGGATGACCAACACTCCATGGGTCTGCCGCGCACAAAGTAAAACAACTAGGGTTACCACCTCATCATCCCTTTAAAACCGAACACATATTAATTACACAGGTTCTGAGGCTAATTTAATGCAGATAAGGCGCTAAGTGGGTTTAATTACCACCTTAATCAGCCACAGAACCTGTGTAATTAACCTCCCTGGCGGTATTCCCAAGTGTAGCTCGGGGTAAAGTTTCAGCACCAAAAGCGGTAACCCCGAGCTACACTCGGGAATACCATGCAGCGCTGCTCTGGGATCTCTTCTTCACTTACCTCTTCCTGCGCTCCGCGATTTCCCCCCTGCAGCATCCCCGGCAATGTCCTCCGGCCGATGCCGGCATCTGTCTTCTAGGTTTCATTCCCTGCGACGTCAGGACGTACAGGGACGGAACGGTGGGAAATTTGAAAATTGTAGAAGTGACATTCACTAAAATCACATAGTATAACATTACTGTATCAAACCATTTCACATACATTTTGTCCTGAGTGCTTTGTCCTGTGCCCTCCTGCATTTTTACTGTTGGCGTCCATGGCGTCCAAAAAAGCGCCCTTTAGGTCAAAAGCGGTTTTAGACCAGCTAGAGAACAGCGATAGTAAATCAGAACTACTTGCAGAATTGAGTGATAATGATTCGTGGAGAAATTCGTCATCAGACACTGAAAACGATTTTGCGACTTTTGCTCAGTGATGTGCGAACTTGGCGCTATATTTCAAATTTCAGTGTTTTTGGTTTGATTATATTATTGAATTAAATGTAATATTATTATTTTTTATGATTATTTATTAAATTATAATTTATGATTTCGTGTTTCAAATTGTAACATACCTGGGATGTTTACTAGACTCTTGTTCAGACAGATTTCAGTGAGTTATTCCTAAAAATTACAGGCCTACAATACAAAAACAACATATTTACATGCAAAAAAATGTACCGCTTTGAGCACAGAAATATGAACATAATCAGACCGCTAGGGAGGTTAATATGTGTTCTGGTTTGAGGTGGCAACCCTAGTAGCAACCGATTAGCAACCTTTCATCATTTTGACTGCTGGAAACACATTAACCATGATATCTAGGTCAATGCCCTTACACATTATCAATGCATTGAAGTATTAAAAAGGGCAAATTGTATGAAAGGAAACAATCAGTGAGCTCAGTCAACCAATCAAAAGCTGCCTTTCTTTCTCATTCATTGATGGACACAGTCATTCACCGCCTCCAAGTGGATTGAACACTGGGAAACAAAAAACTTTAGGCCAGCATAGAAAAACAACTTCCTACTACCAACATGCCTCAGTTTTTTCACTAGTGTCCTAGGAGGGTGGACCTTTTTTTTCAGCTTTGTTATGTAAAAGACTAATCTATTTTTGCTAGCACATTTTTTCTCACGCTTAATTTACATGGGCGCTGAGGCCTGTCCAGCATGAATGAGCGATTTGTTTATGCAGCTGGAGCTGCGTGCAGGTAGCCTATGTTACTGAATGGTAGTCCAGCAACTGCAGTTGGATAGACCCGCTCTAGCAGCAGTGCAAGGGTGGACCTGCCCATGCATGTATGTCTGATTAGGAAATGGTTGTGTCTGCTGTTCAGGCCTCAGCACTGATGTGAATGAAGCCTTACTCTTTATTTTTTCTTCAGTCAAGACTGTTTTCCACCCTCTTTGTACAGCTTTGCTATAAAACTGAGGTATCCTGGTAGTAAGAGGGGTTATCCTGGGCTGGGATACAATGTTTTTTGCCAGTATTCATTCATCCAGTAGGCAGCAGTGTAACCTGATGTACTGTGAGTATAAAAATGCCTGTTTTACTGGTCTCACTACACTGAACTTCTAAACGTTTGTCATTGAGTTTTTCTTTATTCCACTTTGTATTTCAAAGCAGCAATGGGCATAACATCATGGCTGTAAAATGCAGGGGATGAGACAACCATGTTTCAAGTTTGTTGGCTTCAGAGTCACTACATACATGACTACATGTCAGGATGTGTTGAGGAATAAAACAAACAAACATGTTACCTCTAATCTTAACTAAAGATCACAATCATCATGTCTTACTACAGATTTCCTGGTATTTTGAGGCAAAGCCATGGAAACCTGCTTAGCCGTTAATAAAACTGTGATTTCTTTATAAAAGGAGTAAAAAATGCATCAATACAGGTGCTTCTCAATAAATAGGAATATCATCAAAAAGTTTATTTATTTCAGTAATTCCATTCAGAAAGTTGAAACTCATATATTATATAGATTTTATTACACACAGAGTGATATATTTCAAGCATTTCTTTCTTTTAATTTTGATGATTATGGCTTACAGCTAGTGAAAACCCAGAATTCAGTATCTCAAAAAATTAGAATATTACATAAGACCAATAAAAAAAGGATTTTTAATACAGAAATGTCGGCTTAGTGAAAAGTATGTCCATGTACAGTATAGTATGCACTCAATACTTGGTCGGGGCTCCCTTTGCATGAACTACTGCATCAGTGCTGCGTAGCATGGTGGTGATCAGACTGTGGCACTGCTGAGGTGTTATGGAAGCCCAGGTTGTTTTTGATAGTGGCCTTCAGCTTGTCTGCATTGTTTCGTCTGGTGTCTCTGATCTTCCTCTTGACAATACCCCACAGATGCTCTATTGGGTTTAGGTCAGGCGAATTTACTGGCCAATTAAGCACAGTGATACCCTGATCATTAAACCAGGTATTGGTACTTTTGGCAGTGTGGGCAGGTACCAAGTCCTGCTGGAAAAGGACATCAGCATCTCCATAAAGCTGGTCAGCAGAGGGAAGCATGAAGTGCTCTGCAATTTCTTGGTAGAGGGCTACACTGACTTTGGACTTGATAAAACACAGTGGACCAACACCAGCAGCTACCCAAATCATCACTGATCATCACTGACTGTGGAAACGTCACACTAGACCTCAAGCAACTTGGATTCTGTGCCTCTCCACTCTTTCTCCAGACTCTGGGACCTTGAAACTCACTCTTCCTCTCCAGTTCCTACTATGTCTCCATTGCAGCATTGAAAGTATAACGAGAATATAGTTAATATGGGAACCACAGACCCGAGAGAGACCGTATTCTCAGAACATAGTAAGAATAATCAACTTTCCTAATATAAACAAATAATAGTTCTGTTTTACACTTAATTTTCTAGGCCAGCTGGTAAAGATGCTTCTATACACTGAAGTTACTCGTTATTTGGACTTCAAAGTAGTGGAAGGGAGCTTTGTCTACAAAGGAGGAAAGATCTACAAGGTGCCATCAACCGAGACTGAGGCTCTGGCATCCAGTAAGTGAACATTGGAGTCTTGTTAATACACCTCAGGAAAATTACTGGAACTGTAATTATATTCCAAAATCTCTATTATAGCAGAGCCACATACAGCTTTGTTTTATGGGGTGATCGTAAAATATAGAAAGGTTAACATATGTCAGATTATATTGGATTAAAGATGGGGTTGGGACTTGGGTTTAATTCCATTCCACCAACTTGATTTTCTGCAGACCTCATGGGCATGTTTGAGAAGCGACGCTTCCGCAAGTTCCTCGTTTTTGTGGCCAATTTTGATGAGAATGACTCAAAGACATTCGAAGGAGTGGATCCCAAGAGTACAACCATGAGAGACGTCTACAAAAAATTTGACTTAGGCCAGGACGTCATTGACTTTACAGGACACGCTCTGGCTCTATATCGAACTGATGAGTAGGTAGATTTATTAAAATGCATTTGCATGGTGTCTTGTCCTGTTTAATCTTTGAGTCAGACCTTTCCTTGGGGGGGATGAAATGTCCAATAAATATAATTTGTGTTTGGGTCATTGCTAATCTGTATTTTTTCTATTTCAGCTACCTGGATCAGCCATGCCTGGAAACTATAAATCGTATCAAACTATACAGTGAGTCTTTGGCGAGATATGGAAAGAGCCCCTACCTGTACCCTTTGTATGGACTTGGTGAACTGCCACAAGGGTTTGCTAGGTGAGGTGACATTGGGTCTAATAAATGTAAATGCAGATCAAACGTTTAGGGGGGTTTTAAGTTGCTCTAAGCAACTAGTCAGTTGTTTGGGTCATTGTTTATTCTGTAATACCTGGACATTTCATTGCTTCCCTTAGACATCAAATAACTCTTTGACTGTGTTTATTCTCACAGGCTGAGCGCGATCTATGGTGGAACATACATGTTAAACAAGAGTGTAGATGAGATTGTAATGGAGAAAGGAAAGGTGGTGGGAGTAAAGTCAGAGGGAGAGGTAAGTTCTGAACCAGTGACTGGAGGATATCAAAATGTAGTGTTTTAATGTTTGGGCTAATGGTGGATTTTCAAAGTCTGTGAGTTTCTTAAATGTTTATAAAGAGTACAAGACCTGGGTTGCTGAATTGTAAATAGATTTCAGTAAAATTACTGTTGGAGTCTAGACATCCGGTGAATCTCTAAACAGTGCCTGTAGGCCTGTTGGAACATTGAGCTGTGACGGAATATCTGGCTGGTTTCAAATCAGTGGCTGAAAGTTTTAAAGGTTTTTAAGAAGTATAATGGAACCTTAAATTCAGCAGTATCTAGATAAATATTAGATACCGAACATTAGATGCAAGTTCCTAAATAGTAATACCATATGGTATATATAAAGATAGGCACTTGCTATATTCCTAGTAATACATCAAAAATTCATGTGCACATATTTGTACAAAATGAATTCACTTAAAAGCCCACCAGAGTGCATAGCCCAATACCAAACAATGATGTAAGTCTTTCAGTGGATGTGGGATCAAACCAATCTCCCAAACTTTTCACAACTTGTGGCCATAAAAAAAAGTGCGCACTCACCAGAGGGTTTTGACCCCTTTTTACAGGTAGGTAAAACTGAGTATGATCTCCCAAGGGTGCCTAATACAAGAAGTGGATTCCAGATCCTTCTTCAGACCATCAGCTTCATATAGCACACTCAGTAATGAAGCAGGGAACAATCATTAACAGCGCCTAAGTGTAGTATTTATTGAAGGCCTCACACATACAAAAGTAAAAAATAATATACACTCACATTGCAAAGTGCTTAAAATACAGGCACCAGTGTATACAGCCTCTATTAGAGGTTAGTCACTGTGACACGACGTCATACGTGACCTGGAAGTGACGTCTGACCTGCGGAATAGAGGATTGGAACACATGGCGGCCAACGGAGTAGGTGCGGTGACTAACATCTAATAGAGGCTGTATATACTGATATAAGCTATATGTACGTTACCATAAATAAATACTACACTTAGATGCTGTTAATGGATGTTCCTTGCTTCATTACTGAGTGTGCTATATTAAGCTGATCGTCTGAAGAAGGATCTGGATCTTCTTGACTTAAGCACCCTTGGGAGATCATACACAGTTTGACCTACCTGTAAGAAGTGTCACAACCCTCTGGTGAGTGCGCACTTTTTCATGGACACAAGTGGTGAAGAGTTTAGGAGATTGGTTTGATCCCACATCCATTGAAGGACTTACATCATTGTGTGGTGTTGGGTTATACACTCTGGAGGACTTTTAGTTTATTTTAACACCTTCCCAATCTGCTATAGGCCGGGCGGGATACTCCTCCTTCTGACTGGGCATCATATGACGTCTTGTCAGAAGGAGCCACTCACATGGCCGCGCAGCGGCACAATCTGTCACCGGCTGTGTCCACGGGACACAGCCGATGACATATCACTACACCAGCCCATTGCCAGTGTCATTTGACCTCTGTGACCAATCACAGCAGATCACATGTCAATTGTATACAATGGATGGCTTTCTGTCATGCCATCCATTGTATACAATTATGTTGTTAGCTGTGATTGGTCAAAGCAATCACATGGTACAGACAGGCCCAATCACAGCCCATCTGTATCATGTGATCAGCTTTGCCCAATCACAGCTAATCACAACAAAAGGCTGAATGAAAAAGTTTCATTCAGTAACAATGATTGCAAATATCAATGAAATACATTGATATTAGCAATCATAATATGTAAAAAAAAAAAAGAAAAATCCTGATCACTTGCCCAGAGTAGTTCAATGTTACTATGGTTACATTGTATTGCTTTGGTCACAGTGTGCTAAAAAAAATTGTAAAAAAAAGAAAAAGAATGTAATAAACAATAAAAACAAAATAATAGAAAAATTAAAAAAAAAATACAAATTAAATTATTATTATTATTTTTATTATTTTCACCAAAGAAATGTAGCAGAATATATTGTGACCTAAATATATGAAAAATGTTATTTATTTGCAAAATATTATAATAGAAACGAAGAAAAGTGCGTTTTTTTTTTTCAAAAGTTTCAGAATTTTTTTGTTTTATTTAGCAAAAAATAAAAAACTCAGTGGTGATTAAATACCACCAAAAGAAAGCTCTATTTGTGTAAAAAAGATGATAAAAATTTCATATGGGTACAGTGTTGCATGACCGCGCAATTGTCATTCAAAGTGCGACAGTGCTGAAAGCTGAAAAATGGAAGGGGGTAAAAGTGCCTGGTATTGATGTGGTTAAACAATGGGTTGCATTTTAGATAAATTAAAAAAAAATGCTGTATTGAGCTTTTTCAAGCTGCGGTGTGCAAGAGGCCTAACCCCCCCCCCTCCCCCAATGTACATGGTCTTTTTTTCAGATTAAAAGTGAGAAAGGCTGCTGGGAGGGGAGAGCAGGATGAGCTAAGCTGCTGAGAGAACTAGTTAGACAAGTGCTTTTGCTGTAAACTTTAAGGATCAATTGCTGGAGTGCTTATTTACTGCATCTTAAAAAGTAGTACACACAAATGTCCATAACCTAGCCAGAAATTCACGTCAAGGTCTGGTGAGTTTTTGAGCATCGTCCGAATGAGTCTTGAGCTCTTAGTGTTTGGACATGTGGTGAAGTTCCTGAGCAGTACTTAGATGTCTGGGGGGTTTCTGGGCAGTGTGTAGACATCTGGTGAGATCTGAAACTCTTACTTCTTTCAAGAATAAGGGAACATAACTATCACGTTATGCCTGTATCATGTAGGTGGCACGTTGCAAGCAGCTGATATGCGACCCCAGCTACATTTCCGACCGAGTGCGCAAGGCTGGTCAGGTCATACGCGTCATTTGCGTCTTGAGTCATCCTATCAAGAACACCAATGATGCCAACTCTTGCCAAATCATCATTCCACAGAACCAGGTCAACAGGAAATCAGGTGAGACCAATAAAACAACGATGGAGTTGTTAATTGTACAGACTCATGAGGATTCGATCATCAATAACAAGGAAACTTTGCACTTATGTTCCAATGCAGACATCTATGTGTGTATGATCTCCTACGCACACAATGTGGCCGCACAAGGAAAGTACATTGCTATTGTCAGCACCACAGTGGAGACACAGGAGCCCGAGAAGGAAATCGAGCCAGCCCTAGAACTGCTGGAGCCTATAGACCAAAAGTAAGACTCTTCATGACATCTGCTAAGATCTTTTCCTGAAATCTGTGATTTTCACTGTGAAATGTGCATGGATAAACTTGCGGAAATATATCTTGCCTGATCACTACATACAATCAATGAGTACTCCGACCTCCTTTGTTATGATAGGGATCAGCTAGTATTCAAAGTCATAGCTGCCCAGTAACTGACAACTTCACAGTCTATATAATCTATGTCTGCTCTCTTCAAATACTAAATGACAGTACATCTCGTGCTCATGGAGCATGGAAGCCTTACTAAGGGCTTGTGCTGTTAATGAGCAGATGCAGTTTGCTTTCAGGTGCATTCAGCCTGCATTTGACAGCAATTTGAGATGCATTTGAGATCAGATTTCATTGACAGGTGCATTTGACCTGTAGTTGATCTCTTTCTGACCTGCATTTGACCTTCTAAGCTGGATCACTTTCCTTCAAGCTGCTTTTGCATCCCATTCACTTCTACAGTAAGAGCAGCAGTTCTGATGCAGTACCGCCGACACATGCCCTAATAGAGTTAAAGCAGAGCTCCACTTAAATTTAAATAAATAAAAGTCAGCAGCTACAACAACAGTGTGATGAGTAATTAGCAAGCAATCAGGATTCCAATGGGGTCAGCAGCATGTGCACTAAAAAGGAACCCAAAGACCTTATATAACATAAACAAACAAGTGCAGCGTTAAAAAATTAATATATAAATTGTATGTAAAAAATGTAAAAAATGGTGGTTCAAATAAATAAACACAAGTGATAAATTGAAAGTGCTTCGCTATAATAAGCGCAGATAAATACGGGCAACTGTGAAAATCAATAAACAAACAAAAAATGTTCATATAATGGTGAAAGTCTGACAGATATCGGTCAGAGAATTGTGCAGTATAAAGATCCTGTTGCACAGATGATAGCAAAGGATTTCATGTGACTAATCCATGTGACTTTAAATCGTGCAGGGGATATGATAAAAATGCGCACTCACAAGATGCTCATAGTAAAAGCGCAATACGTTGAATCATATAATTGATTGTTAGGTCTGCAGGAAGCCCCCTTTAAGTGGTCCAGACAAGCAGCATAGGAAGAGACTCCCTCCTCTGGATCTGAGACTGCTCTGCAGCTGTTCTCCAGATAGAGTCCTGGAAATTGTTTAGATCGATTCAGAGCCAAGAAAGAAGGTGCCCATAGTGTAGTAATTGAATCTAATTTATTATGGTATAAAACAATATATCCACGTGGAGAAAAAGCACCAAAAAGCAGAGTTTAAAATCAATTAAAGTGATCAGCCACTCTCTAAGATGGCCGCCGGACCTTCGCGAGGCTCCGGCGGCGTGACATCACGACTTACAGCTCCTCCTTAAAAACTGTAGACACTCACCTGACCCTTGATCCACTTCACCACAGCCGGGTTCATCAGTGCCCACTGCTTCACACATGTGCGAGTAGCACCTGCGCTTTGTGAATCGTCCTGTAGTCTTCTGGGACCTGTCACGTGTCCCAGAAGACTACGGGGAGGACAACAACTTTCACTTCCGATCACCTAGGTGGAAGTGGGAGCAGGTACCTGTCAAATTTGGGTACCCCTGTTCCCCAAAGGTGCCAAAATCCTTAACGGGAAGCAGGGGACGAGGCCTAAAGTGGATGTTCCCCTTTTCGGTGGAGCTCTGCTTTAAATAATAAAACATAGATCTGCTGCCCTGCAGCTTCTAAGTAACTTCTGAGCTGCTTTCTGCAAGAAAATAAAGGCTGGCTTAGGATTTTGTCAAGTGAAATGCATGCATTGTTAGAATGTATAGTTTTAGTGACACACTGAACTGAGATGTGTTGGCAAAGCCTTTTTCCTACTGCATCTCATGTGCTAAAATTTTTGTTTACTGAATAGAGCCCTTAATGAAAAGTGTTAAAAATGCATCCAAGCTTGCACATTAAACCATTTGCATCTACTGTAAACGTACCCTAAAAGTGCAATGCAAGCCAAAATCTTAATCCTAAAGTATAGAACACCAGTGATCGTCGTCAAGCATGGCTCATTCATGAACCATGTGTTATATTTTATTTATTTCAGGTACTTATATAGCGCTGTCAATTTACGCAGTCCTTTTACATATATATTGTATATTCACATTAGTCCTTAACCCTCAAGGAGCTTACAATCTAAGATCCCTAACTCACATTTATACATACACATACTAGGGCCAATTTAGACAGGATCCAATTAACCTACCAGCATGTCTTTGGAGTGTGGGAGGAAACTAGAGTACCTGGAGGAAACCCACGCAGGCATAGGGAGAACATGCAAACTCCAGGCAGGAGGTGCCGTGGCTGGGATTCGAACCAACGACCCTAGTACTGCCAGGCGGAAGTGCTAACCATTTAGCCACTGTGCTGCCCATATATGTTGCTACCTTCAGGTGATTGCACACTGACAAATGCATTGCACCCATATAACCCCACCTACTTTTGTGAGACTCCATTTTTCTCCTGCTAAAGAAGAGTTTTGTCTGTTTTTCCAAAATTTAATTCTCCTTCTTAAACTGGCACTTCTATCAAGATCTGACTACTTATTGCCTTGTGGCTCACCAGCAGTTTCCAGACTGGTTACCCTCAATGTATTCCATTGAGAACCATACCCAGACCCTGCAGGATCAGACCAGCCGGTCGTTTTTGCTTTAGGCATGGATCCTGTGTTTGGAGCTTACCTTGACACTTGATGCAACTACTGGGTTAGCCACAGGATGATATACAGGTCCAGGGCTGTGGCGCTTTTCCATGGCACCCTGAAGACCCCTTTTGGGTATGCCCACCATGACGGGCAAAGCCTAGATCCTGGACAGGAACATTGAAGTAGATAAGATAAGAGTTTCCCTGTAACTTTACATTCTGGTTCCTGACTATACATGGCTTGTTTGAACATCACCTGGATCTGTAGTACACACTACATCATATCCTTTCATCCTACAAGACATACTGTGCTGCTAGGCACACAAGCAGTTTTGAAAGCACAGGTGATAATCTACACTTTGAGTATGTTCTCCCTAGTTTTTATTGTCTTTATTTGACACTGTAGGTGTCTTTATTGTATCAATTTGGCGGTCTTTTCTGCCCCCTAACTACCTGGAAAATCTCCGCTAGCTAGTGACGTAGTGCTTATAAGAATTCTAACTGTGCACTTATGGGATACAATTTCCTTTGATGACGCAAGCTAATCATTCGCTGTTGCACCTGTTGCCAGATACATTAATGACACAGTTACTGGAACTCAGTCAGCACCTGGGTTATTGCAATTCCTTCACACCAGACACGCTGAATCCCCTCAGTTCATATTCATTCCTTAAGTACCCCACATGGAAAGATCCTCACTTAGTCATGGCGGTTTATAGGAGCTTGGAAATGGGAGTACATGGAACAAATAATTACAATTATTTGCCCTGAAGAAACTACAAATTCCTCCCAGGTTGGTAGCTGTTCCCTTGTTTCGGTGCCAAGTCTTATACTGACACCGGTCTATTTTCCAGAATCAGGCTCCCTCGCAGACACACAACACATAGCCTATCTGAATTAAATAAAATTCATTGTTAGTATGTCTGATCTATTCCAAAGGCTATCACCACTTTTGGAAACGGCTGATGTCAGCAGCTGTAAACATCATTCTACCCTCTCCTCCCCTTGACTATATTTATGGGTTATAACCTGATTTGACTGGCACACTTACACAATGAACAAGGGAGATTCAGACATCTTTGCAGAGTCTGTTAAAGATTTTTCACCACCAACATTTTGTGAAGTTAATTCTTTAGCTTCTCACTACATGCTGGTCATAGTGGACTCATTGATTGAGGCAGTGTGTTCTAGTCTCTGGCTAGACACAGCTTGTTCTACACTGCCTCCTCATATTCTAGAACAGGGGTTACCAAACTTTCTAAACAAAGGGCGAGATGACTGTCCTTCGAACTTTAGGAGGGCCGGACTGTGGCCAGTGGGAGTAGAAACTGTCTTGGGTCAGTGGGAGGAATAGTGCCCCATCGTTGGTGTCAGTGGAAGGAATAGTGCCCCATTGTTGGTGTCAGTGGAAGGAATAGTGCCCCATTGTTGGTGTCAGTGGGAGGAATAGTGCCCCATCGGTGGTCTCAGTGGGCTGAATGTTGACCCATCGTTGGTGTCAGTGGGAGGAATAGTGCCTCATCAGTGGTCTCAGTGGGAGGAATAGTGCCCCATCATTGGTATCAGTGTGAGGAATAGTGCCCTATCGGTGGTCTCAGTGGGTGGAATGTTGCCCCATCTTTGGTGTCAGTGGGAGGAATAGTGCCTCATCATTGGTGTCAGTGGGAGGAATAGTGCCCCATCACTGGTGTCAGTGGGAGGAATAGTGCCCAATCGGTGGTCTTATTGGGAGGAATAGTTCCCAGTTGGGTGGTGTCAGTGGGAGGAATAGTGCCCAATCGTTGGTGTCAGGGGGAGGAATAGTGTCTCGTTATCAGTGGCAGGAACTATGTCCCACTGTTACTGACAAAGGGGGAATAATAGCCCAAGAGCTGGATAAAAGGAAGCAAGGGGCCGCATCCAGCGCCCAGGCTGTAGTTTGGAGACCACTATTCTAATAAATCCTATTCTTGAGCAAGCTGATTGGGCTTTACATAATGATTGGCCACTCCTCTGGGCATTTTTGCTGTCTGTCTATTTGCTGGCTATGGGAGAAGAATTCAAAAAGAAATCGACTGTTCCCACTGTGGCTATTCTTGCCTTAATAATCAATCTACTGTTTCTACTGAGGGTATTCTCTTATTTTAGAATTCAGTTGATAGGTGTAGGTATCATGGCAATAGAGGTTCCATGGTTAGCTTCGGGCAACATGCCAGAGGGGTTGTTGCCCCCCTGTTGAGGTCAGTGGGAGTAGACAATAAAAGGGAAGGAATAGGCAATAGTATTTCAGTATATGGGTAAGAGGGTAGAGAGGAAGACTGAGGGTGAGGGGGTAGAATAGAAAGATGGAAGAGAGCACAACACCTAGCCAGTATCTGTTTCTGGGATATGTCTCTGGTATATATTCTGCAAAGAGGTGCCAAAGTAGACTCAGTCATTCCACACCCATTCAAAAGCAGTGAGAGTTTTGTTCATTCTTGCTGTAAGAACTTTCATGAGTTTGACTTCTTGAATGTGAGAGTATAAGTCAGTATATTGTCAGCCCATGTGTCCCCTTCCAATGAGAAGTGATCAGGCATCTAATGGCAGTAAGTACATGCAAAAGTAACTTACTGGCATCTTTAGAGGTTGCAGATGGAGGAAGACCCTCCAAGTGAATGGACGGATCAACTTTTAATTGAGGGATTCTACCCTTTGCCAAAATGGCCTTTATCTTTGAGCCAAGAGGGTTCCTTCTCCAATATCCACAATCACACCCTATTTAGCTGTCCTCCTCTACCTTACATGTATTTTGTGTTTGCGTCATGCAGGCATCATTATCTACTACAGGTTCATCCTTTTCATGGCAGCCCTTTCACTTCTAAGCCCACTGGACCTGCTCAGGAGCCTTCTTCCCATTGAAGGTTTGCCCCGCCTGAAACATAGACATCCCAATCAACCTGTTTTGGAGAGATACACAGTCCCAGAGAGTCCCTATTGCTGTTCTCTTTCTGTTGCTTTCATGCTTTTAAAACACTCGTCCTAGCTACTACAGCTGCTATACTTCTGCATGGTCTCCTGTAGACCTGCTACTATGTCTATCTGCCTATAATAGCAGACACAAAGTGATGGGTTGTACTCCCTATCTATTCCATATCAATGTAGTTCATTCAGTTTAAAATAGAAATACAAGCAAACCACGCGTGTGTGTGTGTGCGTGCGTGTGGGTTAATGTGTCATATAAGCGACTATGAGGCTAAGAGAGAAGAGGGTGGAGACTCCTTGTGACGATAGGGTTGGGCGTGACAGAAGCAGAAGATTGAACCAAGCATAGGTTAAGCACAGTACAGTGTAAAATGTAAACAGAAATAGGCAGAGAAACAGAACTACACTGATCTTCCCATTGCAACGTTGTACAGGGGGGCGTGTCAGCACAAGTCTGTCCACTGCAGTACATATAGGCTGTGCTCACAAAGACACAAGCTGACCACACTGGAATAGACTTGCTTCCATGACCTGGAGTGGTCACTTTGAAATAGGAAAGCAGGGGGACTGGCAGGATCACCACGTATTTCATACAAAGGAAACAATAAAAAAAAAAACAGGATACTGTTTATTAAAAGTAGATGACAACATAGGCACATATTGGAAATATGAAATGTTGAGGTAACACACTTTAATCACACCCTGAGCATATATTTCCTGGTGTGTTTTGCAGACTGTTTACTAAAAGGCTCCTGACCCTAATTCCTTGAGCCATGGGCAGCACAGTGGCTAAATGGTTAGCACTTCCGCCTGGCAGTACTAGAGTCGTCGGTTCAAATCCCAACCACGACACCACCTGACTGGAGTTTGCATGTTCTCCCTGTGCCTGCGTGGGTTTCCTCCGGGTACTCCGGTTTCCTCCCACACTCCAAAGACATGCTGGTAGTTTTATTGACTCCTGTCTAAATTGTCCCTAGTATGTGTATGTATGAATGTGAGTTAGGGACCTTAGATTGTACACCCCTTGAGGGTTAGGGACTGATGTGAATGTACAATATATATGTAAAGCGCTGCGTAAATTGACAGCGCTATATAAGTACCTGAAATAAATAAATAGTGTGCCCAAATGCTGATGCTGAAGCATCTCCTTTTGAATGATGCCACATCTACCCTAGATAAATCTCCCTAGTGGGTACACAGACCTGGACAGGGGTTTTAACCATTTCCTAAAACTGGAAAAAACTGTTTTGGCCATAGTGCAATTTTAAATGGAATCTGTAAAAATCGGGCTATAGGAGCTACAATTGCTGACCTAATTTAGATGTTCAGTTGTCATCTTCTCTTTTTGCTTCACTAGTTAAACACAGAATGGAACAAGAATGCAGATCATTAGTTGTCAGGCTTTCTTATATGCACCCACTTGTTTCAGGACATTTACTAAACCAAGAATACAAGTGACAGCCATGTAACTAATTTTCATTTGACAAGTTTTCATTTAAACAAGAGGCACTGGAATCACTAATGTTCACTGCTGAATGCTTGGGAATGACAGTGGGAATGAAAAAAAAAAGGTTTCTGCAGTGTTTTAACCAGGAGCTATACAGGAGCCACAGTGCTTGGTTATTCGTAAACCAGTAGCTTGATCAGTACATTTTAAAACACAATAATGTTCCCAAGGCAATGTTAACGTTCATGTTTTTTTAATTTTTGTTACAGGTTTGTTGCAATCAGTGACTTGTATGAACCTACTGAAGATGGATCAGAAAGCCAGGTAAGCCTCGTGGGAGGAAATTATCCTCTGTGTCCCTGATATTGTAGAACAGCAGACATCACAAACCATGTGACAAGCCTGGCTTAAAGGTTTACTGTCTCTTTACTTGTCTTTCTACTTGCCATTTATAATACCAGTGTCTTCCATAGAACAGCATACATCACAAACCACGTGACAAGCCTGGCCTAAAGCTGGCCATACATGTATAGATTTTCGTTCAAGAATTTTGTTTCAAAAATATTTGTTTGATTTTCTAATTGTTAATGGGGTTAGATCCATGTTTGTTTTCGACTGCAGTGATGGGAAAATTCGAAGGGGCAGGAAGGAAAACTTTTCTCGATCAAATGAATTTTCAGCCAGTATATGTGGTTATCATTCAGAAATGACATTCATTTTAAAGTCGAATGTTAAAAGCAAAAGACAATGTTTGAAATAAAAATAATAAAGCGAGCGCTTACTGGAAAAAATATTAAAATATAAAGCTGCTAGCATAAAGGAAAAACCTCTAAAATCCTCAAACATATAATATAATCAAAATGCAGTGCTAAAATAAATAATTATAGTGAAATATAGGTGAAGATTGCGCAGAATAGTGTGATAGCCAGTGATACAGCACTGATGTCTTAATGAAGACAGCAAATAATTTATAAAGTGACAGCAATAACATATAAATACATTATATGTCATAAAATGATAAAAAGATCAATAAAGGTCGATAAAATCATTCAAAAGCTGCGTCAGCTTTCCCAAATAAGGAAGATGTCAAACAATCTCGGTAAACTTCCATCGTACAATCATAAGGTGCACGTTGCTTCCTGTGATGAGAAAGAAAGGGGTGTGCTTGCACTCACCATACGTAAAATGATTTTACGCATGTAGTATAAGGGACACTGGTGGTCATCTGGAACCTGGTTGGAATGTGGCACTCCGATGGCGCTTGGTATACCCAGGGACAATACTCCAGACCTCTCAGTGGACCCTCTCCGATGGTGGAAACTGCACGCAGGTTTTACTTACACCCAGCAATAGGTAAGTACAGCAACAATAGGAGAGCCACCTTAAGTAGCTCAAAAAAAGCCACCAGGACAAAAAAGCTGATATAGTGTAGTAGTTTATTCAGCCCAATGATGGTAATCACATATTGAAGTAACAGGTGTGTTAACAAACATGTAGCAGCAGGTGGCAACAGCTACAGTTAGTGAATGCAAACAGCACATACACATAAATGGTAGCAGATCGCAAATAGCTATTAGTGTTTCAGATATGGTGGATACATCTCATGCATGAAGAAAAAATTGTCCAAATTTCAAGATGGCTGCTGGGCAAACACGTGTCCCCAGCAGCTAGGATTGGCGTCGGCACGGCAGGCTGGTCCCCTGACGTGGTTCGTGCAATGGCACGTTGTCAAAGGGTGACCTGCTGCCGCCGCCGTCCGTTTAAATACCCCCCACGCATGCGCAAACCGGATGCCATTTTAAGAGGTCCGGCGCATGCGCGGGACGGGCGCCATTTTCCCGAAGCCCCAAAAAGACAATATTTGAACGACATTCGTCCATTCATCGAATGTTCAAAGAATTTTCGCACAACTTTTCTTACGAATATTCTTGGCGAAAAATCTACACGTGTATGGCCAGCTTTAAGGTTTACTGTCTCTTTATTTGTCTTTGTACTTGCCATTTATAATACCAGTACCTTGCATATTCAGAAATCTACAGTAACCAAATTTCATGCACTGGCATGGTAACAAATAGAAACAAAATGGTAGTGCAGTTTATCCTTTTCCACTAAACCTGGATGTCAAGACCAAATTTAAGCAGCTTCAGTTATCTTGACAATAACTCTTTGACAAACTTACCTACCTGGAAAAAAAACACATTTATTTTTTTACTTTTGTTTTTTTCTTTGTAAATGTCACTTGTTGCTTGTATACATCCTACAGTTGTGCAACTTTACAGGCAGGATTCATGCGTGCCTAAGCATGGTATTTAAATAAATTGTGTAATATTGTCATATAAGCCTCAATAAAACAGCTGCTCTGATCCCTGCCATAGTATTTTTCATGTCCCCCCAGGGCAGTGCTCAGCTCCCCATGTCCTTTGATTGGGGGGGTCCTCCATGCCTTTTTTTTCTTACAACAATAAAACCAGCTTGAAAAAAATTTATTAGGCAGCAAATGGTGTTTAATTTTATCATACAGTACACAACACAGGAAGCAATTCATAGTCCAGGTAATTAGTCATGGGAAAAAGCCTTGCTGGGTCTGCCGTGTAGTGTCCACCGTAACCCCACCCACTCTATGAGGCTCGAATTTTATGCCTTTGGAGAGGATTTTTCTTTTATCTGATTGAATTACCCCCTTCACTGTCACTTCTATCAAGATCCTACAGCATACTGCCTTTATAGCTTATTATCAGTTTTCAGATTGCTGACCCTGAAGTATGTCTTGGGAAACGCACATACACCCCACAATTGCGCAGCTGGCCTGTAACGTTTGCCTCGAGCATTGGATCCTACTTTAACTGCTCATCTTGGCATGTAGTGCAACGAGTGTAGTTAGCCCCAGGGTACTATACAGGTCTAGGGCTGTGGTCCATTTCTATAGCACCCAGACCTTTGAAGGTGAACCACCATGACAGACATGACTGGACAGTACCAGCAATGTTTACAAATAAGACAGGGCCTTCTTGTACCTTTTTACAGTGTCCTGATTCTGGATATACCACTGTATATCCTTTTTCTACAAGATATACTACAGTGCTTTGCATGCCGGTGGCTCTAAGGCAGGGGTGTCAAACTAGTGGCCCTCCAGCTGTTCCAAAACTACAAGTCCCATCATGCCTCTGCCTTTGGGAGTCATGCTTGTAACTGTCAATCTTGTAATGCCTCATGGGACTTGTAGTTTGGAAACAGCTGGACGGCTGCCAGTTTGACACCCGTGCTCTAAGGGAACAGGTACAGCGTGTAAAAGAAGTATTGAGCACATCACCATTTTGCTCAGTAAATATATTTCTAATGGTGCTATTGACATGCAAATTTCACCACATGCCCGTAACAAATCATGCAATCCATACATACAAGGAACACAAAACAAATAAGTTCAGAAATTAAGTTATATGTAATAAAATTAAACAACACAGGGAAAAAGTATTGAACATGCTAACTGAAATTTATTTAATACTTCATACAAAATCCTTTGTTGGTAATGACAGCTTCAAGATTCCTCCTGTATGGAGAAACTAGTTCCATGCATTGCGGGATTTTGGTGTGATTTTGACCTATTCATCCACACAGTCTTCAAATCTTGAAGGTTCTGTGTCTCTTCTATGAACTCTGATCTTTAGTTCTTTCCATATATTTTCTATTGGATTCAAGTCAGATGATTGGCTGGGCCATTCTAGCAGCTTTATTTTCTTTCTTTGAAACCAATTGAGATTTTCCTTGGCTTTGTGTTTGGGATCATTATCTTGCTGAAATGTCCACCTTCTTTTCATCTTCATCATCTTGGGTTGATGGCAGCAGATTTTTTATCAAGAATGTCTCTACATTTTTTTCTATCCATCCTTTCTTCAGTGTTATGAAGTTTCCCAGTACCGTATGCTGAAAAACAGTCCCACACCATGATGTTCCCACCTCCAAACTTCACTGTTTGTATGGTGTTTTTGGGGTGATGTGCAGTGCCATTTGACCTCCAAACATGGTGTTTATTATGGCATCCAAAGAGTTCAATTTTGGTCTCATCTGACCAGACAATATTCTCCCAGTATTTCACAGGCTTTTCTAAATGTTGTACAGCAAACTTTAAATGAGCTTCAACATGCTTTTTCTCAGCAATGGAGTCTTGTGTGGTGAGCTTGCATACAGGCCATGGCGGATGAGTGCATGGCTCTCCACAAGTGGTCCTTGGCTCTTGGGCAACTCAACTGATAATTCTTTTCACACCTCTTTCTGAAATCTTGCGAAGAGCATCTGGTCCTGGCCAGTTTATGGTGAAATGATGTTTCCACTTTTGGATTATGGCCCCAACAGTGCTCACTGGAACATTCAGAAGTTTAGAAATCCTTCTGTAACCAACAGAAAAAGAAAGGGGTATAATACAAGAAGTGCCATCATCCCTAAAAGGTACAGTGGAGAGGTCCTCTTGTTAATGGGACTTTAAAGGCACTGATTTATCAGATAGTAAGCTAACAGTTCAACAGTTTAAAAAGCAAACAATTTTTATTTTTACAATTTTTAAAAAAGACATATGAATTACAATACAGAATATGGCGCTATCGTCAAAGGCTGATATTCCAGTGAAAATGTAGAGATAAGTCATGCATGAGTTGTACTTGACGTGTTTCGAGACCAATCACAATCTCTTCTTCAGAAGTGCTCAAAGAGTCATGACACCTACGACAATCATATATAACAATATATGTTTGTTGTAGGCATCATGCCTACATTTTCACTGGAATATCAGCCTTTGACGATACCGCCAAATTCTGTATTGTAATTCATATGTCTTTTTTTAAGATTGTAAAAATAAAAATTGTTTGCTTTTTAAACTGTTGAACTGTAAGCTTACTATCTGATAAATCAGTGCCTTTAAAGTCCCATTAACAAGAGGACCTCTCCACTGTCCTGTAATCAATGCCATCAGTATGTTTTGCAACAATAAGGTTGCGAAGGTCTTGACAGAGCTCCTTGCTTTTACCCATCATGAGATGTTTCTTGTGTGACACCTTGGTAATGAGACACCTTTTTTAGGCCATCAGATGAGACTGATATTAATTTGCATTGACAAGGGGCAGGATTGTTTTTTAATTACTGATAGATTGTAACTGGTGTCTTGACTTCCCATGCCTTTTTGCGTCTCCCTTTCTTTGTGTGCTCAATACTTTTTCCCTGTATCATTCCGTTTTATTACACATAACTTAATTTCTAAACTTAATTGTTTTGGTTTCTTTGTATGTATGGATTTCATGGGTGGTTATAGAAATGTGGTGAAAGTTTAGTGTCAA